CCACAGTCAGTTCTAGAGTGATCTCCTAGTCCTCACGAGCGCATAGGATTTCGCGGATCTTCATTCGGATAACGTTTGAACCCCGAACGGATCTCGCCTAGTATGCGATTTCCGGGTTCTATACATTTGAACCGTTGGATCGTAGTCAATTTCAAGTTTGTTAATCTAGACTTTCTCAGGATCGTATCGTATTTGACGGATCGTAAAATGGAGTCCCGGATACTCCAGAAATGTCAGCCCTAGAGTGGGGTGTACAGTAAAACAAACCAGTTACAGGTCCGGAACAGAGGAAAGAACTACGTGTGGCTTGATCCCTCAGTAAGGGTACGTAGGCAGCCTACAGTTGTTTAGGCGCAGCCACGAGTTAGGAGCTCAGGGTTTATGTTATTGTTTTCAGGGTATTTTCGTCTTTTACGATCCACAGTTACCAGGTGCCAATTTAAAACTGGATTCGGCCCGGATTTCAAAGTGGAATTTGGGTCGGGTCGTTTCATATACAATATGTGAATTTTACTTTATTACTTAATAGTTTATAAAAAAAAATGGTGCATTAAACATGAAGAATATGCATGTACATGAATAGTATGTGTATGAAAAATAGAAGTATTAGAAGAAAAAAAAGTACATACGTATGTGTATAATACGCAAATTTACTAACTAGAGCAAAGATTCATATTATTTTCATATTTCTTTTTCTTCCGTATGAAGTATTATTATTATTATTATTTTGGTGATGCAGGCCAAAACCAATATTATTTTCATATAGAATTTTTGTAGAAATGTCACTTAAACTTATACCTCATTTTCAATTTGTCACCTTAAATAAAAATTTGAGAGAAATGTCACTTTAATTTTCAAAATCCATGATTTGTCATCTAATTTTAACACCATCCAATTTTTCATCCATTTTTATGGATATTTTAGTCGTTCCATTTTCAAGGAAAAAAAAGAGAGAAAAAAGAGAGCTCTCTCTACTTTTCTCCCCCACCCCAACCCAACTCGCCCCCAAAGCACATCGCACATGACCCCCCATCACCCCTCTCTCTCTCTATCTCTATCTGAGTATGTATAAAAAAAATTATGGTGTTCATTGAGCATGTCTGAAATTTGCAAATACTTGATTTAAAACTACTTAAGCTTCCCACCAAAAATCCAATCCCTTTCTTGTCTTCATGGTTTCACTAACTTATGTCACTGTGTTTATGTTGAAGAATCTAAAGTTTGCTTGGTCACCATTTGTTATGTAGGCTAGTGAATTGTTGGTTTGGTAGTTGTCCTTTCACAAATTTTCAATATTCAAATGGAAAAATACCAAAAAGAAAAAAGAAAAAAAAAAAGAAAAAGGTGGGCTGAGGGAATTTGTGTGTGGAGGGTAGGTGTTCCATGGTAGAGAGAGAGGGAAGAGGGAATGGAGGAAGGGGCTATGAAGAGGGAAGGAGGAATGGATTTCAAGGTGGGCGAGGTTGGTTGGAGCCGCCGGTGGGGCACAGGGGATGGGGGAAGGTAAGAATTTTTTTTTCTTTCCAATTTTAATTGTTTAAAAGATATACATTTTATATATAATGATTTTTCCATTTTTCAAAATACCATTGAAAATGGAAAGACTAAAATACCCTTAAAATGGATGGAAAACTGGTTAATGTTAAAGTTAGATGACAAATCAATTTTGAAAAATTAAGGTGACATTTTTCTTTAAATTGAAAAATTGAAACTAATGTATAAGTTCAGATAACATTTCTACAAAAATCCCTTTTCATATTTCCATAGATAACAAATAAAGAAATATCTAAAAATGGAAATTGGTACCATGGTAAGATTGTTGTACGGTTCATTGAAATTTCATGTTGGTATAATGGTAAGATTGCTATACAGTTAAAATGGTAAGTATATTCTTGTTGTGCAGTGAAATTTCATGTACAGTTCATTGAAATTTCCAATTACTCAGACAAGCATAAGCCTTACTCCTTCATCCAACTCTGACAATAGTCAACAACTTCACAATATGTTGAATAAGATCAGATAATGAAATGATGTCTCCTTGACAACATTAATGGATGAAGAACATTAGCAGAAAACAAATATTGGCATGGTTCCTCAAGTGAATGTTTCCCTCTGATTTACAACAATCTAACTGATTCAGCTACAACAATCTAACCATTCAGCTTGATTTGCAGTTCCATGGTTTTACGGCATTGATTGATGGAACACAACTTTGGCAGCCAAGTATACCGATCTTGCGTCATCTGCAAGGAAAATAATTGCACAACAATCAACATATAGAGCCTTGCATCAAGTAATGGAATCTCTTTCATTCATGTAAAACCACCAGAAGTTACAATGGTTTTGCCTATACAGAAAGGCAATAATATTCATGAAAATGAATTAGACAGGATGCCCCTCAGAAATGGGTTCACAAATATTTTATTTTCCAACTTGTTAACATGAGACGAATAAAGCTGTGTGTGGTAACTGGGTTTACTAATTACCATTCTGTGTCATCTCAAGCATCACATTTTGGAGTACAAGATATTTCAGTGATTTAACAATACCTTGAAATTCTGCCATTAGGCCATCTTAGTTGTCTAATGCTCTGCAGTAATCACGTACACCAAATGGTATGGGGAAAATATGAACACTCATGCAATTTCATACACACTTTATTTAATTTTTACGCAAAATATACTACCAGATGGGGTTAAGTAGGATACCTAGCTATATGCAAAATACATGTTTGAACTCGTACCTGCAATTGCAGCCAAATTAAATACAGAAGGCACGTTGGTCTCTGCCTCAACTGCAGCTTTGGAAGCTGCAATACCAACTGCCAGACTTTGCACGACATCTAAACCTGCACAAATAGAAGCAATAGTTCCCCCAACCAAGCAATCACCAGCCCCTGTAAGCCTCACCACTGATGCAGGAAGTGCAGGAAAATGCACAGCAAAGAGAAAAGAGCTTCTCTCAGAATCCGGAGGACTCGAGAACAGATTTGAAGGACAACTTGCAGTCATGGTATTAAATAATTCTCCATTGGAAGCATATTGTTTGATTCCCTCACAACCAATCCTCATGAAGCTTGGCCCTCCTCTAGAGCATAAGAACACACCATCTGAACCAACTGTCACAACAACTATTTTAATACCCTTCTCTAGTAAAACCCAGACTGCAGATTTTAGCATATGGAACAAGGTTTCTGTTGAACATTTCTTTCTGCTATTGTTCCTTTCAATTGGACGATACACATTTCCACCAGACAAATTATTTGCCATGGCAACAAGTTCATCTTCATTGGGTGAAGCAAAAGTTACCTGTACATTTAGTTGCAAATGAGGATAAAAAAGAAACCCTGGAAATATAAAGACTACATCAGGGTCAAGCACATAACTATTTATTAGTTACCCTTAAATAGTTTTTTCTTTAAATAGTAGTGCAATTTTTTATTAAAGATGGCAAGGGGTTGAACCCAAGTAACTTACAAACAACAACATGATTATACAATGAGATCCATCTCTGTAAAATTTTATTATGTATTAGTTCCCGTACTTGTCAAGGGAGGCCGTAAGGTAACCAGTTCTTTTTTTTCCATGCCCCCTCATCCCCAGGCAGAAAAAGATACCAAAAAAAGGATAAGCACTCGTAGATACTCATCAACTACAACTATAATCATAAAAAGGGCATAACCCGTTCTACGAGTGACCTGGATCTAACATTTAAGAAGAATTAATAGCAAAGTGGACATAAGAGCAAAAGGATAACACTCACATACTTGACAACTGAACTGATTCTTCTAGATTTTGCTACTGATACAGGTTCAAACCACACCGGAATTTCGCATTCTGCAGCCACTGAAATGAACCCAAATAAGAGAAAATAGAATTGAGAATTGAGTAAAAGATACTGAGAGAGGGAGAGAGGGAGATCTAAAGTAAAATGTAATAAATACACTGGCAAGAAGCTTTTAGCGCAGAAAGATTCAGGTTTGCATCAATCATCAACACTGGAGCAGAGCGTATATTATATTTGAACTGCTGGATCCACTCAGGTGTTAGAAAATTTTCCTGTTCCAGGGTCATCATGTAAGCATTAAATGTTCTGAACATGCCATTCTTAACTTAAGCTTTGTTTATGTTTTCAATTTAACCACTCTCATAAATAAACAAATTTCTCTTATTGAACTTGAACTTACGATAGCTTCTACACTTGCAACAGCAGCAGCCAACTCCCCACTAACATCAAGTACATTGCACACAACAGGAGTCTCAATGTTTTGGTGCTTCCAAATCCCTAATCCAAAACCATCATAACATATTAATACACGAGTACGAATTGTGCTGAGATGCTTTAATAATTTCAAGATAAAGGAAAAAGGACTCAATTTTGATTGTAAATTATCCCTGACAGACACACTGAAAGATAAGTCAAACTGACTAAATTTTTGTTGTAAATAGAATATCTAAAACCTTATTGCAATCTAGAGTTATAACTATAATCAAAAGTCACCGTAGGTGAAAGGTAAATTGCAAACATAATAGATGACCTTCAGTAGATAGCCCAGAAGACTTCCAGTGCTCCAACAATAAGTTTCCTAATGAAAAAGAAAATGTGTAACTTGTCAGTTTCACAAGTCATATGTGCTGTACAAAAAAATGTGATTATGTTGCAAACACAATTCAGATAAAAACAGTCAAAGCCTAGTGAATAAGCCTGAGATGTTTTGAGATTCATGTGTTAAGATTCAAATAAATTAATTTTGGAGATATGGTTATCAATCGTAACATCAGATTTGGACTACGGAGTGATTACAATGAGTACTCCAACTTGGAGTATGTTCATATTGCTACTTAAATCACTGGAAGCCTGGCATCCCAACATTACGATATATCAAAAAAATTATATAAAAAAGTATCCCAGCCCCACAAGCATTACTTGATATTTTCCAACTAAGCATCCAAACAATTCTTATCAATTTCACAAAGTACTATCGATGATGAAACCTGCATGGCTCTTGTGGTTGTGGAGGTTGGAAAGCAGTACTTGTAATAATAAACAAAAAAAAGGTCAGAAGACCACCTGGCATGTCAAGCCCCAAGGCACTAATCATGAATGGCTTTGCTCCTAGCTTTGATATGCATTCAGCAACATTCCTTGCTACCCCTCCTAGTACATAGCTGACCTGAGCAGATGATTCCCATGGATAAGCACACGCAAATAAATATCTAATAAAAGAACAATCTTTTCCAATATATACCCCTGCTGAAAGATTCTTTCTGTGTAGCAGTGAAAACCAATTTTTCATCATTTCAAACATAAACTTCAAGGTACAATTACTTAAACTTAGCCCTTGGTTGGTGGTGACAGAATTTGAAACGTCAAAATACAGCAAATCAATATCCAATAAAAGAAGAAGAAAAATAATCCCAACTTGCAGCCCTGCTGAAGACTCTGTATTAGCAGTGAGAACCAAATCTTCATCATCTCAAAGCATGAACTTCAAGGTAAAATTCTGAAAACTAGGCAATTGGGGGTACTACAATTTGAAGTCTCAAAATACTCAATCAAACTCACATGAAAATTACCATTTTCCATCTGGGCATAATTCATTAGCCATTTTATATTCTAAACTAAGGGAATTGGAGCAGCAGAACTTTTCCAGAAGCTTGAAATTGTTTAGCAAAGTGGAATCTAAAATACCAAATTGAATTAACTTACCAGACACAAAGAGTACAATTACAACGTTGGACATACAATTCCAATTCACCTAAAAGAAAAACTTTATATGAAAAGTTTCATTCAAACAAAAATTTTGTGGGGGAAGAAAACTAAACTTACCTTACCTGGAGTAGTGGTTCTGGGATTTGCAGGGATAGAAGGTGTGGCATGAATGTCCAACACCATTCCTCCTATTACCACAGGCTCTGCCTCCTCACTCTTCACTTGCCCATTACTTAATAACAGCACCTTGCAGTAGTTAAAAACTCAAACTTTATCAAATACAACATCTTTTCTTTTTCCACCAAGCTTCTCAGTACATAGTGCAAAAGATAACCCAACAAAAAATTAAAGAAGAAAAATGGAAAAAGGTTGTGGATGAATCAATCTCACCTGCTGCAGACCGTGATTAGCTTGAGGTGGTAATACAAGGTGACGAGAAATACAATCCAATCGCCACCTTGCACTCTTCTCCATTGTCGTCGTCTGGTTTACAAGTACAGCTTCTGAATCTTGCTCTCAGTCAGACTTCACGGAGACATGATTGTTCTTGGGCTCTTATCAAAATCCTACTGGATATTTAGTTGAAGCCCATAAGGTTGATAATGGCCTTGACCAGATTGGGCTGAACTGTGTTTATATGTATGGGCTAAGTTTGCCGTTGTTCGAGTCTTGAGCGTGGATCATCGCGCACACACAAATTTGATCACTGCACTCCTCCATAGAATCTAAACTTTTTCCCAACTTTTCAATTTTGACCCTTTCATTGATGTTTCTGAAAACTTCATAAGTAGTAATAAAAAATTTCAAAAATGTCAAAAATAAAATTGTCATTGTTGTCCTCATCTCATACATCTTCGTCGAGTATAGTGAGTAAATTTTTTAGCGTAAATGGTAGGGCTCTTTATTCTTTGCCAACATGTCATAGGGTTTATTTGGAACTGTTGTTTTAGAAAGTACTTCTACTCATACGCACCTTTATTATTAAAACGTTAAATTTTTTTTATATAAAAAATCCAAGTGCTTTTTAGAGAAACATATACTATGTGAAGCAAGTGCTATGACTCAAAAGCACTTTTAAATATTTCTGTCAAACGTTATCAAAAACGTTTTTCACTGTCATAAAGCGTTTTTAAGAGTTTCATAATCACTTCTAAACAGGAAATTAGATGTATAATTAGTTAGGCCACGTATTGTAAGAAATGAGCTTATCATGATAGTTAGAGGACCCAAATTGGAATCACATGCCCTCCAATACTCAAAAGAATAAAGGTAAAAAAAAATAGCTCGTGAGTCATCGGCCTCAAGTCAAGGGTATGATGAGGCAAAATCTGAAGTCATAATATTAGGCACATGTGTTGTGAGAACAAGTAAAGTAATATAAACAAAAGTAAAAAAAGTTGGTCGTTAATCCCTTTGAGAACAAGTAAAGTAATATAAACAAAAGTGAAAAAAGTTGGTCGTTAATCCCTTTTTGAAATTGTCCAAATACACAATCCAGAAGGCCTCCTCTCTTTCTCCTCCATTTGAGACAATAACAGTAGTAAACACTTATCAGTTCGCCAGTTATCCACATTGACCACCGTGAACATAATTGCCTGCCCCGTGCTTATCCAACCGCCCACCTTAGCCTAACCTTCTTTTCTGCCCACCTTGTAAACAGTGCATGCATGCATTTCCACTTGGTACACTTCTTTATATTCTTACCCTTTTAAGAAATTTTGGTTCGTAATTAAGAAAATAGTGCTGTTATTTTCACTTATCTGACTTATTTTCTCACTCAACTTATCTTTCTACTTACCATATAAATTTTAAAAAATACAATCCTATTTTTCCACCCACTAATATTCTTAAAATACCCTTTTAATTATTACCTCATTTCCTTTCTCCTTTTATTCTCTCTACTCATGTCTTCTCTCTCTCTCTCTCTCTCCAAAGGCTATAAATCTAATGAACTTTGCAGTAAAAAATATAAAACACCCATGCAAAACACATGGGAATGTCAAAGAGTACAAAGCCAAACAGATAAGGGAAAAACAACAGTACTCGCCCAATTCACATGTCTCACGCTCAAATTTGTTAAAAGTCCAAGTTCAATCATCATCATGTGCTACTGTTTATCTAGTTATGACAGTGGCACATGAAGTCCAAAATTCGACAGACCTTGTTTCTCTTTCTTTTTCCTTAAGTCCTTTTAAGTCATTTTATAATATGGTTAAATTTGTCTTTAAAAGTTTAAAGATAAGGTGGGTGGAAATAGAGCACTTTTAAGAAAATTTGAGAAGATCTTCTTCATGCCCCTATTTAGGACAGTCTTCCACTTATCTTGATAAGTATGTGGGGAGTTTTATTAGACACTCATCTTTCTTAATACAATTACTAATTGTATACTAACCATTAACCTAAAAAAAGCCTGAATCATGAGCAGGGACATTCCTACGTCCACCCGAGCGACTTGATATTTTATAGTCCAATATTAATACTCAGTTCACCAAAGCACACCTCCACACACCCCATCCTGTGATCCCACCCACAGAAAATCTTTTTTTTTTTCTTTAGTTAATTAATATTTATTACTCAGCCTTTTTCAAAAAACACACATTTCTAGAGAACATACTTTACTTTTTTTGTCCCAAAAAAAAAAAAAAAAAACTTACCTTTTCTAGTTTACATAAAATGCCAATTCTTTTTTCTTTATTTTCCTTATAAATTTTGGCTACTTCTTCTCATTTTTATTTTCCAAGTTGGCTTGGATGGATTAAAATGGTTCAGTTTTTTTTTTCTTCATCTTTTATAATGGATAATAAATGCTTTCAATTCTTTTCATTTCATGGAGAAGTTTATCATGTAATTGCTAATTGACCTTAAAATTCATATTTCACTAAAATTCACTCGTACAATCAAGTTTTCTAAGTTTGTATATAAGATAAATTTAGCCCATCCTATTTTCAAATCCTTAGTCTGTCCCTGATCATGAGATCGAAGATATATAAACCTCGAAACTCTTAGCTTATAACTTCTCACCCACCAAATTATTTTGAGTACATTCACTTAACAAAATAAAAGAATCAAAGTACCAAGGCACCAACCCAACCCATGAAGTCCATTTACTCAAGCGGAATACCATCTTTGATGAATTTTGGCATTTGAATTTTGAAATGATAAAGTGGGGTTCTGCCGAATTTTTTTGCGAACTTCAGTATGATGCTATTGAAAACCATTAACATTTTCAGTTTGGGTAGAGGTATCGTGTAACTTGGTTAGCAAACTTAAATGTATTCTCCAATGTTCGGTTTTGGTGTATCGAACGAAAGCACAAACAACTGGATTTATAAATCGTAAAAACTTCAACAAAACTGAAGAATTTTGAATTCATGTACTTCATTTGGAGGCTCAAATATAGGATTTAAAGTCCCATTTATAAAAAATAACATTTACTTTCATCAACTTGTGAGTGTAAGAGAGCTAATGGTAGGGCTATGGCTTATTAAAAGTGGGATTTCGAGATGGATTGTCAACAAATAAGTTTGGATTTAAAAACAACTTGGTCTTCAATAGTAGTCATTTTATGTTATATTAATTTTTTAGGGGTCAACCTGCCAACCCGCTAAAATACCTGTTTATTAAATGGGTTGTGTCAACCTATATAATACCTGCCAACCTGCTAAAAAATGAAAGGAAATGGAGACTTCAGCACACACATAAGGGGTTTCTAACCCCTACCACTTTCATTCCTCTCCAACACCTTATCCACCATACTATAGACAACGTTGTGATTATATGCTACACTATTTGATATTTATAATGTTTCTACAAGTTGTTTTTTTTTTTTTTAAAAGAACTAGAATTTCACATGTCTTTCTTTTTTCTTTTCGTTCTTTTCTAGAAAACATGGGTGTGTAGCTCGAGGTGCAAAAAAAGGGAGGAAAAAAAAAATCAGAAATGGGTGTCATAATAATGGATGTCTATAAAACGAAACAAGGGGAGAAAAAAAATCACAACTCAAAAAACAAAAAAACTATCTTGACCAATTTTCTTCCTTCCCATTTCTCTCAATCTAAACCTATCTCCTCAAACTCAGAAATAAAATGGCCTTTTCATTCCTATTTTCTCTCAATCAAAACCTAGCTCCTCTAACATAGGCATAGGGGCAAAGGGCTGCACCAGTGTGGACGCCCTACTTTGCTTCCTCACGAGGACCAGTTATCGTAAACGACTCATTACTTCTTGACAATGATGTTGCCATTGGAGATGTGAGGAGTTTGGTGGCTCTCAGGGATGTGCGTGTGCTGGGAACAAAGGATGATAACAAGGTGGCGAGTGATGCCATGACACTTAGCGTGCAAAGTGCCGTGTCAGTGGAAAATGTGGGTCATCGCCTCATTGTGATATCTCATGAGGTGCAAGTGCTAAGAGCTCAATTGGTTGTAGAGTGGAATTTGGTTGAAGATTGTTAGCGTGTTATAAAGAGTTTGAATAGGGAAAAGGCAAAGATGACGGAGGAGAATCGACATCAGCTTGAAATATTGCAGGAAGAGAATCAAAAGCTGTCAAAGATGGTAGATTATTACTCTCAAGACATGCAAAAGTAGCTGGAGGCCCTAGATCGATCGGGTAAACGCAAGCAACGAGATCATGACACAAGTTATGCTTAAGCTAAAGGTGTGATCTTTGGGAGCTCAAGTGATGAGCCCCAAGAAGATGTGCATGAAAACCCAAGAGAAGAGGTTCAGAGGTCCAAACTAAAGGCTCCTATTGTGGAATCAGGAAGCGCCCTATGATGTTGTTATTGTTGTTGTTGTTGTTGTTTTTTTTTTTTAATAATAATTGTTTTTAAATTAATGTAGTCCCATGTTTCCTCCTTTTTTTATTATTATTTATTTATAATAATGTGAAAATAAATATTTTAATTTTAATTTTAACGACATAAATTAATGTGCTAATCATCCAACTATAAATACCCCTAAGTGTACAAATCTATTGAAAACTAAGAATGAGTAAACATGTTATTAATCAGGTAACTATAAATACCTGACATGACACGACCCATTGCCATGCTTAGTCCCAAGTTTGAGTCCTAGCATTTGTGTAATGTGTATGAGTTCAGTATATTATCGCCTCTCTTAATAGGAAAAGTCTTTAAAAAAATAATATATATACAGAGAGTTTTCATTAAGGGTTTATTTAAGGGATACCCTTATGGGGCCCACTCTGCATTGTATTTCACTAATCCAAATATCTAATTTTTAGATAATCATTCAAAGATCGCCTCTACAAAAAAAATCACTTAAATCCGATATAATTTGACCATTCCATTAAGTTATTGAAATTTTAGTACTTTCTTGAAGCACCGTATTCATTGATTTTGTAGGACACAATTGGATGTCGAAACGGTTTCCAATTTGTCTAAATTGTTGAAAAAAAATTCGTACGGGACCCTAAAGGGTGTCCCTTAATAGAAGGGGATTGTATATATATTTTAGGGGATGCCTTCAATAAATTTAGGGGTGACAATAAATTTTTTCAAATTCT